ACTTTTAACGATGTATCTTGAGATTTTACATGTCAGTAATATTTTATTTAAAGGCTGTTTAGTATTTAGTTGTATGAACTTAACATTATTTGATCCTTTGTTGAACATTGAATTGTTTTCTTTTTTTTATTTTAAAAATACTCTGATGAACTTATAGATACATTTTTTAGCAGATTTGTGGTTATTTTACCAGGACAAATTCATAGAAGAATCACTAGCTCAAAAAATTTGCTCATTTAAATCTGATGTTAGTGTTAAAATTTTCAGTTAAAATATTAAATGTTATTTTTTTTAATTTTTAAAAAATGTTTATTTTTGAGAGAGAGAGAGTGCAGCTGAGGAGGGGCAGAAAGAGAGGGATACACAGAATCCGAAGCAGGTTCCAGGCTCTGAGTGTCAGCACAGAGCCTGACCCGGGGCCGAACTCCTAAACGGTGGGATCATGACCTGAGCCTGAAGTCGGATGCTTAACGGACTGAGCCACCCAGGCACCCCTAAAGAAATTTTAAAAGCAAAATACTTATCCATACTACCAGAACCCCAAAAAAGTATATTTTTATTTCTCTAAATTAAAATATTAAAAGAAACATTTTGAGGGAAAATACTTATCTATATCTTGTCCACCTACCAGCATATTGTCCTGAGCATACTTGTGACCATAGTGTTCAGTTTTGTCTGATAATTTGGTCCTCACAAGAGTTTTTCATTTCTCCAAAAGAATTAGGATCATAGGTTGTTGGACATACTGACCTAGCGCTACCCCGTGACTACCATGTAATATCACCTTAACCTTTCCAGGCTCTGTTTCTCAGCAGAACTTTGGCTCCTAACCTCAGGAAGCCAGAGGCCCTGGCCTTAATTACTGTGGTGCACACCTCCAGCATATACAAGCACCCACAGCCACCAGTGATGCTTTTTGTCTACTTTGCCCCAAGAACATATACCCACCAAATGTAAGGACTTAGGGGATTGTATAGATGTTGCTAAAAGGGAGGCCAGAAGGTCAGTCCTCGAGATTGCACTCAATGAAGTGGTAGTTCCTGATTAAACAGTTGCACTTTTCTGGGTAAGGCAGCCTCGGTCCCAGGAGCCCTCAGACTCAACCATGCTGGGTCTGAATAGGAGGCATTTCTATACTGAGGAGATGGAAAACTGGTTGTTTTTCTTCTCTGTAGATTTGTTCTCTTAGTTTATCTGCTGTTAGGTTTTATAGGTAGTGCCACCCAGCAAGAAGTTTGGAGCTGGATGCCAGGCTGCTCGGTATGGGATAAGGAACAGCCACTTTCATAACTTGCAAAAGACTCACAAATGAAGGCCAGTGAGCTCTTTGTGGAGAGCAGTTGACCCAGTAAATTTTCTTATTATTTTTTAATCATTTGTTCTAAGGATCTACCCAGGGATGTGGGGGAGGAGAGAAAATTTTTGTAAGGTGTGCACAATAATTAAGAGCATGGGTTTTCAGATCATATTGACCTAGTTTCCAGTCTAAACTCTACCCCTTTTACAAGCTGTGCAACCTTGGTCAAGGTAAAAAATGGGTTGCTTATTCACAGTGTTGTAATTCTTACTGAATCTTTTTTTTTTTTTTAAAGTTTATTTATTTTTGAGAGAGAGAGAGAGACAGAGCACAAGCAAAGGAGGGGGAAAGGGAGGAAGACACAGAATCCGAAGCAGGCTCCAGGCTCTGAGCTGTCAGCACAGAGCCTGACGTAGGGCTTGAACTCACAAGCCATGAGATCATGACCTGAGCCAAAGTCATATGCTTAACCGACTGAGCCACCTAGGTGCCCCTTTACTGAGTCTTTTCATATGAAAGACGATGTAGTGTAGAACATGTTATGGGGGGAAAGCTGAGGATAATACACCAAACTGGTAACAGTGTTTATTGGAGAGAGCATGGCCTTGAAATGGTGAATGAAGAGACCTCTGACTTTCTATGTCCACTATTCTTCTAATGTATAAGTTTCTTATAACAAGCATATATACTTTTGTAATCAGAAAAAGTATTTTACATTTTTTAAAATTCTTTGTAAAAATATTAAAAGAAAATTTTGAGGGAAAATACTTACCTGTATCTTGTTCACATACCTACATGTTGTCATGTACTTGTGACCATAGTGTTCAGTTTTGTTTGATAACTTGGTCACAAGAGCTTCTCTGTGTTGCTGCACTATCAACATAATGGTCTTTAGAGAGCATGTGTCAAGATTTTGATCATGACCTCCATTGTCTGTTAATTAGGGTTGCACTTTTTTGCTATTACCAATAATGTGTGTGTACGGATTGTTGCCAATTTTGCTATTATAAAGCATGTAGAAAATTTTACTGACTAGTGTGGGATTCTGGGGAAAAAACTGGCGCTCTAAGAACCCTGACTTGCATCAGCAGACTGTTTTACTTTGGACCAGGACCAGGCCTTTCTGGCATTCACAACTCCTTGGCTGGGACTCCTTGAAGGCTAACGGGACCAGGGTTCCTTAGGGGAACCTCAGGGTTCCTCTGCCTTGGGGTCTAGATGGGAGGAAAAGATGTCCCTCCCCCTTTGCAAACAGGTGGCAGAGGATAGGGAGGAAAGGCAGGTGCCACCTGCAGGTGACATGTTTGACAGGTGCAGGAGAAATGTATTTGTTCTTCTGAATTGCACTTCTTCCACACAGGGATTTCAAGGATTTGGATTTGGAGATGGTGGCTTCCAGATGTCTTTTGGAATTGGGGCATTTCCCTTTGGGATATTTGCCACAGCATTTAATATAAATGATGGGCGGCCTCCTCCAGGTAAGACCCTATCTCCTTGGTAATCCTGCTTGGAGGCTCCTTGGAATTCATTAGTATGAAGATTACAGATAATTGTCACTGCTTGGAAGTTTAGGCTTTTCAAAATGTGAACTCTTTCCAGATTACTGGTAGTCATAATGATATTGCACACCCGTCAAATATTAGGCATGTTCAAAATATTTGCCATCACAAACCCAGGGGATCCTCACCACAAGCCTGTGTACACCTGTGGGATGGGTGTGCAGTTAGCTAGCTCCGTTTCACAAATCAGAAAATGCTCAGTATGTTTCCCAAGACATACTATGTGCCTATAAATTGAAAAAGAATAAAATAATGCCTAGTATACCTAGCTGAAGAAAAGCCTCATCCTGTTCACGTATCCCCCACTTTCACCATTTGGGGGCAGGGAAGAGTGAGGCAACCCACCAGGATTCAGAGCCTCTCTATTCTCTGGCATCTCTGTCCAGCTTCCCTCAGGATACACATGGGGCTGGTCCCAAGTCCCATCCCCTTGATAACTCTTTCTAGGTCTGTTACCTGCCACTACCTTTCTCTTTCCAGCCAGCTTAAAGGTACCAGCTGCATTCCATGTAGAACTAGGCAGCAAGATGGGTACCCTGTACTTTATCCCAATCTGACACCAGAGCCAAGATCCTTACCATGGAATCTGCAGAGGTGCTGAAGTTGGTTGAATTCTGCTTGTACTTATTGGAGCCTCATTTGTGATGGACTCAGTGTATTTGCAGAAGGAACCAGTGTGTGGTTCCTGGCCAGAAGCTTATGCTCTTAGGGACAGAAACCTACTCCTGGGTCATCCCAGTTTTCTTTGGCCTTTACCCTGATGCTTGGCATATAGCAGGCAATCAGTAAGTCTTTGTTGACTGCCTGCCTGCATGAATCATCAGAGCACCTGTCTGGGGAATAGTATAGCATCAAGAAATCTTGAAATGCCCTTTGTACCTCCTTCACCTCAAAGGTTTCTCCTTCATTTACATATTTTCTCAAAGGAAGGAGACCCCACAGGGCAGGGTGTACCCTTCCCTGAAGGAGGGACAGGGCCCTGTAGAGGCAGTAAGAACCTGCTTGGCAGCTTCCTTCCCTTCTTGGTCCAGGGCTCAACCTGGGTTTCTCAGTTAAAGAGAGCTCTATAGCCAGACTAGACTGATCCAGAGATCACTTTATCCCTATGCTACAATCACAGTTTTCCTTTATCATGTTTGATATGTTTGCCCATCCTGGATTGGTTTTCATACACTCATTCCCCCAAAGTCTGGACAGGGAGCCCTACATAGCTTTTCTCAAAGCAGGGAGGAGTGGAGGCCCAGTTCTGTCCCTAGTTTGCTGTGTGATGGAAGAGACCAGCCATTTTGCCTTGTCTGGGCCCTAGTTCTATCCTCTAGAAAAGGAAGGCACTCTGTGGGGGGCTAAGACCCCTCCATGCTCAACAGTGCCAGAATCTAGAGACTCTGTGACTCAAGGCAGCATGCAGAGAGGCTGAGAGCATGACTGGGGCTCTGCCACTAACTTGTGAACTTTGTGATCTTGGGCAGGTCACCTCATACCTGTGCTTCAGTTTCTACTTACACAAAATGGGAATAATAATACCCAGCAAGGTGTGTGTACAAAACACTTAGCACACAGAAGAGGCTTAACAGCAGCTTTTCTTTTATTGTTTCCTCTAAGAGCTTCCTGTTTTATGTACATCTGCAGACCAGACTCTCTTAGGATAAATTGGAGACCTTGTCCTCATTGTTATATTATTCCACATATCTTCATAATTCAAGTTTTGTTTTGCCCGATGTTATTTGGGGTTTGGAAATCTTTTTAGTGTGCAGAGTTCTGTTCTAAAGAGATGAAGATTGATGTTCTCAATTCTGGCCCAGACAGGCAGTGCTCACAGCTGCAGTGTTCTGACAGCCTCTCTTCTCCCTCCTTTCTCTCCAGCTGTCCCTGGAACACCCCAGTATGTGGATGAGCAGTTCCTATCACGCCTCTTCCTGTTTGTGGCCCTGGTGATCATGTTCTGGCTGTTGATTGCCTAATGCTGGGTCCCAGCCTATATCCACGGCAGGGCCTCTGGACTGGTGACATGCCACACCCACTCTCGATGTTTGGCTCCCTGGCTAATCCTGACCCCTGGAATCGGTGGGGTCAGTAACACATCAAGGAGTTTTGCTTCTCCATCAGAGCTTTGGGACTCAAGACCTGTTGTCAAGGACTCTGGAGTATGGCCACTGCTGTAAACACCCTGCTGTAACCTCAGTCTTTGGCATTGAGTCGTCTCTCATGAGTTACACCATGAAGTCCTGTTCCAACCAGCTTAGCAGGTCCTGACTCTGCACAGGGAAGAGGCAGGAAAAGAGAAATTGTCAGTACAATTTCACCTGAATTTAATATTACAAAAACAAAGGGATGAACCAAATAGAAACTTTCTTTCATCTCTTTAAATACCCCTTGGTAAGTGGCTTCCAAAATCAGTGGGACTCCCCATATAGTGAGGCTCCAGATCCCAGTGCTGCTGTGTTCTATTTCTTCCTCCTCCTTAGCAGAAATGCAAGAAATTGCTGTCCTCTAAAGATCATAATTGCAGCATCTAAAGCTGGAGTCACTTCATGAATTCACCAGAGAGCCAAAGATCTTTTATTGGCTCTAGGCCATGCTCAGTCTCTGGCTGCAGAGAGTGGCTTGAATGACCTCCTGGTTTCCTGGTGTGTATTATCCCCAGAGACATGTGGTTTCACTCACAGATTTCCCATCCTCTCTCCCCCCAAAAATACGTGCATCTGCGCCTCTCTGCCAGAGGACACACAGCCGAGACTGCTGCTGAAGCCAGGACTACGCATCAGGAAAGACCTGCCATTGGTACTCTGATGGGATTTGGAGCTCTGATGTAGGAACTGAACAAGCAGCCCTTTCCCCAAGCCTACAAAAGCTCCAAGTGCGTCCTCTCAGACCCACCCAACGGGAACTGGGGGCTTTGTCAAGTCAGCGCATGTTGAAGACCATCTTCCCCAGAAGCCAAATTGTCCTTTATGAAGAAGCAGGAGTGGGGAGATCCGCATATGACCCTGATTTGGGTATGGCTTGGTGGATACCCCTGAAAACTCCTTGTATGTGTACTAAAACCAGGGAATCATGCAACTATGGAGCAGGCAACCCTTGATGATTTTTAATGCCAGACAGCAGGGCCTAGAGAGCCTCAGCATGATGACATGGTGTGGTTTTCCCCAGGAAAGTTCCAGGGGAATCATTTTCCCAAGCCCTTGACTTGTTTTTCTAGTTCACAAACTTTTTCCTCAGAATCTGATTGAGGGAGTGGTTCCAGGCAGGAGGACAGTTCACTTGTGGAATGGTTCTCACTCTCCTGGTCAGGCCTTTTCCTAGAAACTCAGCCTCTTCCAGGAGATCCCAGGGGTCGTGGAAGATGGACTTCCTCTGGGGGCCTCTCTGTCACTTTACCAGTCCACATTGCTCCTGGCTCACCCCTAGCCATAGCCAATAAGTGGTAGAAAGCCCCACCTAGTGCTTTTTTCCAGCTGTGGCTCTGCATAGCATGTGGAAACCAAGACCTTGAGGAAGACAGGGGAAGTCCTCCTCTCCTGTCCACAGCCCCCACCCCTTCCCTTCTGTACCTGTCAATGCCAGAGTTCAGTGTTTAATCAGACAAAACGTTAAGTGTTGAAAAGGTGGTTCATTTGCCGAATCCATTTGGTAGGACTAAGCTACCAGCTTTACAGTGTCCCTGATGGATTTTAAACATTCTTGGGATACGCACTCAAGAGTGCTCTTTTTATCACCTCCTGGAAATCCCAAAAGTCAGAGGGACCCCAACCTCTTAGCACAAGTGAATTGGTGAGATCGCTCAGTGCAGTAGCCCCACCTAGTGGTGAGAGAGAGGACTTCAGATAGATGGGCCCAACAGAAATGGGTTTCCAGAAGAAAAGTTAAAAAAGAAAGGGTTGTGGGTAGGAAGACAAATTATTGGGACTCTTTGATGAAGTAGAGTGAGCCCAGGAGAACTCCACCAGCAAAGGCATCCCAGGAACCTGTGAGCCAAGGCAGGTTGGCCATGTACCCTTTGATTTTGAACCTTCTAGGCCCCCCACTCACCCTCTACTGGGAGCTGGGGCAGGAGAGCCAACTTGGGACTGCTGGCTCAGCCCCAACAGGAAACCCCCTTCCCACCACCCCTCTGCAGGCTCACCACCTTGCCCCTCTGCCAAGGCAGTTTTCGTTTCTTTTGTGTGTTTTCTATGTTGGCGTCCAGCCCGCCCCCCCCACCCCCCCACCCCTGCCACCTTTGTGGATTAGGACCAGGTCCCGACCACAGTCAGAAAATGACACCATGTAAAGTGGCACATCTTGACCAGTCACTAATTTTCACTGTTGTGAAAGTGATTTGATTTAGAATTAAACAAATGGTTTTACATTACTGTGAGCTGTGGACTTGTCTGTGTAACTGGTGGGGGGGGGGGGGAGCGTGAATGGGTTGGGGAGTGATCACACTGATTTGGCCTCTGGGAAACACTTCTGCATACGTGGGACTGTCACAATGAGGAGCAGTCTTCAGGCAGCCATCGACAATTAGGGATGACAAGCACAGGCTAGAGGACTGGCTGCATATACAGTCCTACCCAAGATGTAACCTGACAGCCCTAGTCCTGACAAGTGTATGGAATTCCTAAGCTTAAGGCTACCACAATGGAGCTTAGCTTGTGGACAATCAGAACCTTGAGGACAATCACAGGTTATTCACATGCTCTGCAACAGGGCAGATGGGACCCTGGCCAAGCCCTCTACCTGGAGCAGTGGATGTACAGCTCCCTAAGGTTCCTCAGTGGCAGAGTATGAGATGGAAGATAGGTTACAAACCTGGCCTCACCTCAGGCTCCCCCCCCCCCCCCACACACACACACAATAGAGCTACAAGGTCATCCCTCTGAAAAGGTCTCTTTTCTCCCTCTCTTCCACTTTGACCTAAGGCTTTAATCAAGTTGAACAGCACTAAGATATGGTAGGAAATGCAAAGATCAGGGATCTCCAAGAACTCATAAGCCCAGTAAGAGATGGAAAACAAAACATGCACTGAAGTAGAATAGGACAGTAAAGCCTCTACATACCTATGACCCAACCCCAATAACCATCAATTCCTGTCCAATCCTGTTTTGTCCCCACCCTCATACTGCTCCCTTTCTCTTGCCTGGACTATTTTGAAGCAAATCCTAGTCCTATGCCATCTATGAAGTATTTCAAATATGCATCTCAATGATAAGGATTTTCAAAAACAACCAAAATACTATTTTATGTACCTGAAAAAATTAACAATAATTCCTTAATGTCATCATATATCCAATCATTGATCAAATTTTCCTAGTTGTCTCAACTTTTTTGTTCAGTTTGCTTGCATTAAGATCCAAATCAGATCCATATCTTGCTATTGGAGGTCTCCTAAGTCTCTTATTACATCCATAGGTTCCTCTTTTCTTACTTTTACAGTTTACATGTTTTTTTTTAATTTAAGGTTTATTTATCTTTGAAAGCGAGACATAGTGCAAGTGGGGGAGGAGCAGAGAGAGCGGGAGACATAGAATCTGAAGCAGGCTCCAGGCTCTGAGTTGTCAACACAGAGCCCAACACAGGGCTGAAACCCATGAACTGTGAGATCATGACCTGAGCCGAAGTCGGATACTTAACCAACTGAACCACCCAGGCACCCCGCAGTTTATCTGTCATTTATCCTATTGAGTTTCCCACAGCTTCAGTTTTGCTGAAGTTTTGCATCACTGTGGTGTTAATAAGCTCCTCTTACTCTTGTATTTCCTGTAAATTGTTAAATCCAGAAGCTTGACCAGGTTCAGGCTTGGGTATTTAGTAAGACTATGTCATAAATGGTACTATATACCTCTTGTTGCATCATTTCATGAGGCACATGATGCCTGGCAGTCCCTTTTTGTGATGTTAGCAATCCTTACTGATCATTGTCTAAAACAGGACTTTCTGTCATGATGGAGATGTTCTCTATCTGGACTGTCCAACACAGTAACCACTAGGCACATGTGGCTAGCAAGCACATGAAATGTGGCTAGTGGACGGAGGAACTTAATTTTAAGTTCTATTTCATTTTAACTTTAATTTTTTTTTTCAACGTTTATTTATTTTTGGGACAGAGAGAGACAGAGCATGAACGGGGGAGGGGCAGAGAGAGAGGGAGACACAGAATCGGAAACAGGCTCCAGGCTCTGAGCCATCAGCCCAGAGCCCGACGCGGGGCTCAAACTCACGGACCGTGAGATCGTGACCTGGCTGAAGTCGGACGCTTAACCGACTGCGCCACCCAGGCGCCCTATTTCATTTTAACTTACATAGCCACATGTGCTAATGGCTATTGTATCAGTGCAGATTTAGATTAGTTCACAGGGTTTGCAAAATGATATAATTGAAGATAATGTGTTAAGCATTTAGAAACTAGAATAGGTAGAAAGGGGCAACAAAATTACAAAGAACACGGAGGGAAATGGTAGAGTGGTACAAGGGCAGAATGTATTCTGGAAAAACAGTTCTGGAGTGAAGGGAGTAGGAGAAAAGCCTGCAAAGTGAGATGTAGTTCACTCATGAGGGCCTGGTTTAGCCTTTGTTTTGTTGGCAACAGGGAGCTATTGAAGGTTTTTGAGCAGACACATAATTCTGGAGGATTAATCAGTTGCTCTTGGATGGGACTGATTCTAGGAGTGGAGAGACTAGAGGCCAAAGACAGGATCAATTTGATGAAAGTGTAAGTGACAATCAGAAGGTATAGCTGGGAATCAGTAGACCCGTTCCCTCAGGATGGCAGAGTCAGAACCTTCAGGTGTTTTTCAGTGTCCAGGTTCTCATTTCTATAGGTCCAAAGAGTTGATTGTCAGTCAGCAGGATCTGGCCTTAGGGACTGACCAAACTATGGTGGGGTAATCAAAGTGTGAACGGGTGACTTGGGTGCTAGAAACTCACATCTTCTCCCTACCCAGGATTTTCTGTCTTCCAGAAATCCCCCTGGAGTTCACAAGTGATCTTGGAATATTCTTTGGGCCTATACTGGAAAGATATCTTTTGGTTATACATTTCTACAGATTGCTATTTTCTTTCTTTACATTTCAATTTGCATTTCTCAAGAGTTACCTAAACTTCCCTGTAAGGAACTTGGGGGAGTTGGTTATCCCCCTACTCCCTGCTAGTGAACACCATGAGGCTGGAGGTGGGAAAGAAGTGGAAAGAGAGAGGGTAAGGAGGGAGAAAAGACAGACCTGGGTGCCTTGCTGTGGGGCTGAGGGAGAGGGAAGACAAACAGGGGTCTTGGTTCCAAAGCTTCCAGTGCCTGTGTGCCTGGCAAAATACAGCATTACCTCTTTGCATGTGTAGGCTGAATAAAATCCCTGCTCCCTTTTTGCCTACCATGAGGTGGCTTGTCAGAGTCCCCTGGATCCCTGCCACTTTAATTCAACACACAATCCTGTAGTTGCTATAATCAGACCAGAAATTCTTCAGAAACTGTAAAGCCAACCGCTGGAGGGTTCCCAGGAATTACTGTAAGTCAGGCACATCCCCTCCCCCACCCCCTCAGCACTTTCTCTATACTCAGGATTTCAGGAGCCACCTGCCACACCCAGAGGAGAAACATCTGACCTGCTTCCTATTTGGATTACACAGGTCAGGAAGAAAAGAGAATTGTGCCCACCTTTGCTTATTGGAGTGCTGGAGCCAGACAGCAGCAGAGTTGAACTTTGTCTTTAGCGGGGGTGTCATGATCCATTTCCTTGGGCCCCATTCCTGCCTCTTCCTGGTCATTTGAACACTTCCCATGACCTAAATCCAGTCTAAGGAAATGACAGTCGCCAAACACGCATCACAGGAGAATCAGATGGGAAGGACTGCAGGGTCCTGCTGATGCAGCCCACCCTTTGTCACATAGAGGACCCCAATTCCCTCCCAAACCCAGTGAAAGAAAGTGGTTCTCAAGGCCCCTCAGCCAGCTAGCAGCTGCCAGGAACCAGCCTGCTGTTCTGACTCCTTGTCCAGGGCTCTCTCCTCCACAAAGAAGAGCCAGCAGAGCAAATCCAGTCTACAAGTGTGTTCCCTTTAGTCTACGTGGCATTTTTAGAATTTCTGACTGTTACCAACATTTTAAAAAGTGGGAAAATTCACCTAAATACCTGGAGTTTGGGCTTGTCTTGAAAATTTGGAAGATCTGGTGTGCTGCATTTATTTATATACCTGTTTGGCCCCGATAAGAATCTGCCCCTAGAATGCTGGTTGCACCACCTTCACACCATCTTTGACCTAGAGATTATCTACTAAGTGCCAGCTTACTCACAGTGGGGCAGATAAGTGGCTTCTTTGAGCTGGAAGCCTAAGAAAAGTCCACTCTAAATCCCCAAAGTTATTTGTGGAGTAGCTTCTCCATATTCATATTCCTTTTTTTTTTTTTTTTTTTAAGATTTTTATTTTTAAGCAATCTCTACACTCAACACGGAGCTCGAATTTACAACCCCAAGATCAAGAATGGAATGCTCTAATGACTGAGCCAGACAGGCGCCCCTCCATATTCATATTCTTGGTCCTAAACACTCTACTAGAAAGAGCTTTTGCCTGGGAGTTAGGCGACCTGGGGTCCCATCTCACCTCTGCTCCTAGTGAGCTGAGCCATTTTGAGGTAATAGAACTTCTTTCCTCGGGTCCTCAGCTGCCCCCATCTGTAAAATGGGCTGAGGATCTCCTGTTGAGACCTCCCAGGAGTCCCGGGGACTATGCTGACAAACCACCTCACGGCCGCGGACAATCACCCTTACCAGCTCAGGCACTCAACAAAAGGCGTCGCTCTCTCTGGGAGGCACCAGGGCCCCCACAGAGCCGGAGTCGGGGGGCGTGGCCTGGCGTCAGCGGGGCGGGGCGTCGGCGGGCGGGCCCCCGTGCCAGGTGCGGTTTGGTCCTCCCCGGGCGCCGTAGGCGGTGCATCCAGCTTGCGCCGGGGGCCGCGATCCTCCCGCGCCTGAGACGGCTGCGAGAGTTGAGAGGAGTTGCTGTAGTCCCCACCACCTCCTCCCCATTTCCGCGTCCCCGGAACCATGGCCGCGCAGTCGGGTAAGGAAGGGCCGCGCCGTTCTGTTCCGCCGTTATCTTGGAAGCCTGGGCCCAGGACGCCTGAAGGGAGCTGGCAGCCTTGGGAGTTTCGGGCTGAGTGGACCCCCATGGACCCCGGCACTTTAGCAGGAGAACTGGGGAAGTGAGCACAACGCTCCCCGAGGACTCGGAGGTTGTGGGGCTTCGGGAATTGGGGGGCCGAAGACAGAAGGATGCAAGGGATATGCGGGTTGGGCTGCTGAGGGTTGAGGTCCCTCGAGGAAGGGATGCTGGGCTCTGTGAGGGAACCAGCTTTTTTTTGTGAATCTGGCGGCCGCAGGTCCCCAAATGAAAACTTTCTAAGGGGGCGCCTGGGTGGCGCAGTCGGTTAAGCCTCCGACTTTGGGTTTTGGCTCAAGTCATGTTCTCACGGTTGGGAAGTTTGAGCCCCGCATTGAGCTCTGCGCTGACTGTGCCGAGCCTGCTCGGGATTCATATTCTCATATTCTCTCTCTCTCTCTCTCTCTCTCTCTCTCACTCAAAATAAATAAATCAAAACTTAAAAAAAAATAAAATTCTTTCTAAGAAAGCTGGGGCCTGAGTTCTCTTGGAGTGAGGGCTTTGTGGAATATGGAGAGTAAGGAAGGGATTCTCAGGGTTTGGGCCAGTTATATGGGAATGGAGAGTTACCCTGGGTTCTGGGTTTTCTGTGGGAAATGAGGATAGTTGTGACTTCTGACCGGATCCAGGGCGTCTCACGGGTATCTTGGTGCCTGTGATCTTAGGCAGGTCTTAGGGCTCTTTGCAGGAAGCTGGGAGTGTGGGCTCCCTTGGGGTTTAGGACACGGATTAGGGGTTAGGGAGAGAGTGAAGCATTCTTCCTGGGGAAGGTAGGCCACTTCGGGTTCTGGACCCTCCATGGGAGCTGGGTCTTCCCTTGGCCTCTCTGAGACAGGAGAAGAATGTGGCCAAACACCTCTTAGAGCGAAGGGTTGTCCAAAGGTAAAGGGTAGCTTCAGAGTTAGATTAGCTGAGCCTACAGTCCCCTCTCGGTCACCTCACACACTACCCTGCAGCTTCCTGCCCTCCTGGCCTGTCCTCCTTTCTGTTGCCTCTGTTTCCCAGCCACCTGTGTGGGAGGCCCAGCCTCTAGGTCGACCAGGGTCAGCATCCAGAAGCTTTCTAGAGGTGACAGAAGGGAATGGTGGAGGAGGGAGGCTGTCTTGGATATCTGCCCCCATTTCCTGGCTTTCAGCCTGTGGACAGTCACTTCCTCCATCCTGAATACAAGGACCAGGCCACCAGTGGGTCATTTCCTTACCATGGAAGCTTGGGATTTTTCTCTTCATTCTGGATAATAGGCTTCTGGAGAAGACTAGGAGTAAAAATGTTCCTTGTCCCTTTCTCTCTGATTTTTTTTTTTTTAAGCTTCCGGAGTTTTTCAGTTCAAATGATTTCCAGTGACTTTTTTTTCTAACCTCCATGTATGTCAGTTACCTGTCTTGAACCTTGATTCTCAGAAACTTGTAAAAGATCTTAGAGTGCAATAAGTGTTTATTAGATTTCTCTGAGTGAACCAAAAAGCTTTGTAGAGGCATTAAAGTGTCTAGGTGTATTAGTTTAGACATTTGTCCATAAGAATATCTGTGGGATACTTTTGTGCTTATGCAAGCACTGAGTAGTATAATGATGAACAAAATGGATACAGTCCTTGCCTTTGTGGTGGATACAGCCTTAGAGACGGATAGTAAATAATTGAGGTAATAATAGAAATAAATGCTATAATAATTTGAGATAAACAGTGGAAGTAAGTGCTGTAAGAGTACACCAGGGGTGAGGAGAGTGGCAAGAAGACACTTTTCCTTTAAAAAGCAAGTTTATGCTGATCCTTGAGAATAAGTAGAGAGTAAGTCCAGCAAAGAAAGGGCAAAGAACATTCCAGGTGATGGAGCAGCATTAAAAGGTGCCTATGAAGAGCTGTGAGTAGGCCAATATGCCTTTTTTTATGGATGGGGAGACTAAGGCTCAGAAATGACTTGTTCAAGGTTGTACGGCCAAGTAAATGGCGGTGATGAGAATTCATATTTTCCAACTTCAAATTCAGTGCTTTATCCTCTCACAAACACCAGAATTCTTTATTATCACAAACATTAGAATGAGATTATCCTGTGGAGTCAGAAGGAAGTGGGGCTTAAACTTTTCCTTGTTCTGTCCGAACTGTTCCAAGACAACTCAGATTCCTGTGTAACGGGAGAATCAACAACAAAGAAACCAAATATTTACTGAGTACTGTGATGTCTAAGGCGCTGGGCTGGGCCAAGTTTTACCTCTTATAAATTTTAACAGATGCTAGAGCCAGGAGAGACTTGATAATGTTACTCTCCTTGTTTCATGTATGAAGAAACTGAGGCCCAGGGAGAAAAATGGATTTGTCTAGGGTCACTCAACTAATGGTAGAGTCAGGACTAAACTAGGATTTCTCCTCCAGTGCTCTTTCCAATTTTCCAGGCTACTTGAGACATAGCACATAATAAGTCCTTAATAAATATTTGTAGAAATGAATAATATGTGGTTTGTGCCTTTGAGAAATTCACTGTCAGTTGAGAGTAATTAAGAAAAAAATGGGCAAATCAGGACAAATTTTTAGAAGGCCTGTGTGTGATAACATTATGGAATTTAAAAGATTTTGGAGAACTCTATTCATGCATCCATTCCACAAATATATATTGAGTTCATATTACATGCCAGGCACTTCTAGGCCCTGGGGGAAACAACAGGAAACAAAACAGACCAAATCCCTTCCCTAACAGAGTATGTGTATGTGTTTGTTTTTTGTTTTTGTTTTTTTTTAGTATTTATTTATTTTGGGGAGAGCACAAGTGGTAGAGGGGCAGAGAGAGAGGTGGACAGAGGATCTGATGTGGGCTCTGCGCTGACCGGCTGACAGCAGCAAGCCCAATGTGGGGGTCTAAATCACTAATGGAACTGTGAGATCACAACCTGAGCCGAAGTGGGACACTCAACCAACTAAGCCATCAACGTACCCCTCAGAGTGTGTATTCTGATGGAAGTGATAGACAGTATGTAAATATGAGTATCAAACATCAGGGATAAATGCTCTGAAGAGAAATAAAGTAGGATAAAGTCATAGGAACAGTTGGAGGTCAGGGAAGGGTAGCCTCCCTGATTAATGACATCGAAGCAGAGAAATGAAGGAAGGGAGTAAGCCATTTGGGTATCTGAGGGAAGAACATTTAAGGTGTCGGGAATAGAAGGGAATGAGCAAAGGCCCTGAGCCCGGAATGTACTTGGCATGTTTGAACAACAGCAAGGTGTCCAGGGTGGCTACCAGATTTGGTCAGGAGATACTTCTAGGAGGTAAAATTTGAGAAGTCTTTGGTAGATTAAAAGTGGTGGGGGTGAGGGTGCAGTATGATACCCTGGTAGGGAAGAAACTGGAAGTAGGAAGCATAGCTGGGCAAGTTTCAAGGTTCTCACAAGGGATGGTGAATTGATATGGGTGATAGAGGCAAGAATGGAGAAATGGGGCAGTTACAGGAAGTGAAAGATAAAGCTGAGAGGGTAGGTAAAGCCAGACTGTGGAGGGTTTAATGCTAGATTTGTGGAATTTTTCAGACTACAGTAGAGACCATAGGTTTAGAGGCAGAGAACATGATGATGTGTGTATTTTGTGTGTATCAATTTGGCATTGGTGGGCATGATAGATTGGACAAGAGTAAGGAAGGCACCAATCTGGGGGTGATACAGTGGGCCCTGAGGTGAAGTGTTAGTGATAGGAATGGAGAAGAAGGCATTGACCACAGGAATTACCTGCAACCTGGAAGGGCTAGGGTTCAGGGGCATATTAGGAGCGGATGCAGGATCAGTTTGTGTGTATGCAGGATCAGTTTGGCATTTCAGTGAGAGGACCTAGAGCTCTAGCATTCTCTTACAAGCCTATCTTCCTTCTCACTGTTGACTTTGTTTATATAGTAGCAAGAATTAGACTCTTTTACCTATTAATCTATACCCAACAGTAGCTAGAACATGAAACCATTGCCAAGTTCTCTTAGAATATACTTTGATCATCCACCCTGGTGTTCTATGTCAAGTCTTTCTGCCTGTAATTTCCTTTTTCTAGGGAAGAAAATCTAAATATAAAGACATAGACTTTGGAGTTAGCAGACTTGTGGTCTAAACCCAGATCTAATACTTGTTAATTGAGCATTTCAATTTTCTCTTCATAAAATGGGAACAATAATAATCCTTCAATACTAGTCTTCATCTTATAGGATCTTTATATCTGATTAGTTCATGTTTGCATAGTGCTTAGAACACCACCAGGCACATTGTAAGGACTCAAAGTAGTTAATTTTTTTCCCCCTATCTTTGACAATGAGTAGAGAACTACTGTTTGGGAATGTATTAATTGGTTAACCAGTTCTCTGATAAGAAAATGCCTATTCATTCACAGCTAAGTAGACTTACGGTTGGAAGTGAGAACCTGAGTGCTGGAAAGCCACAGGAACCATCTGTCTCACTTGTTTCTCTACCAAGTATCCTATTACCCTACTAAGTTTGCCCTGCTCCCAGCAACTGGTTTGTCCCTCTCTGACGTGTTATTTCTGTACATATCCCCTTGTCTCTGTCACCCGCCTGAGTACTCACCAAGGGCC